GGCTTAGACAGGGGACCCCTTCAAAAAACATAGCTTTGTTACCTCCCTCCATGATCCCCTTTCCTGGCCATTTCTGCAATGCACAGATCATGTTGTCCTAAAAAAAAAAAAAAAAAAAAAAAAAAAAAAAAAAACAGGTCACGACGTACAGAGATACACGATGCGATCCTCCTCCTACCCAGGTCCCGACGACGGATCCCGTGTTTCTGGCCATTTCTACAACGCACGGATCGTGTTGTCGTCAACAGAAATAAAAACAGGTCAGAACTTACAGAGACACAGAGACACACGATGGAATCCTCCTGAAGGTCCCGACCAAGGATCCTGTGTTTTTTGTATTTGTTTTTGTTTTTGTTTTTCTAAATTTGGCAATTTGCCAATTTGGACCATTCTTTTCTCGATTTGTGCGTGTCATCCTTGAAAGCGCAGGGGCGCCATGCTAATAATCTACTCTCTTTCTGTATCGTTCCAATTTTAACGGATATGTCCCAAAGGACGGACGGACGGACGGACGGACCCTTTGTTTCTGCCCGTTTCCACACTGCACGGATCGTGTTGTCGTCAACAAAAAAAAAAAAAAAAAAAAAAAACMCCCCCCCCCCAAAAAAAAAAGCAGGTCCCAACCTACAGAGATACATGAGGGAACCCTCCTGCAGATCCCGACGACGGATCCTGTTTTTCTGGACATTTCTACAAATTGATGGCAATTATGCCCATGGCAACCGGCCGGATGTCTGGACCGGAATCCAGACGGTCCAGTTGTCTGGGTATGGGTCCGGTGTCTGGTCCGGTAGGTCTGGATTGGGCCCAATTTTGAAAAATTCGAATTTTTTTTTGGGGGGGGGCTAGGACGTTTTTCGGGTCCTAGGCCACCCCCAAAAAATGCCCCCGGTATTTTTTGGCCGTTTCAGGGCCTACCGGACGCCGCCAGACGTTTCCAACAGCTCCCTCTGCTGTTGTTCTACGCCAGTAGTTCATCAGATGAGGATGAGTCTGATTCCAAAAATGAAGCGCTGGCTGCAAAGCGCCACAGAACATCAAGCTAGAGAGAGAGAGAGAGAGAGAGAGAGAGAGAGAGAGATGATTTTGGTCAGATCTGAGATCCCGTCTTAGATCTGGTCCTGACCAGATCTCAGATCTGGGGCCTCCCTGCACTACGCTAGACACATGAAAATTTTCAAGAGTTCATCTAGCGCTGTCAGACTTCTGGATTGGCATCAAGTGCTGTCGTCGCTGCACTGACTCCGGACTCTCGACTCTCGTGAGCATTCTCTACTGTAGGACAGACACTACACGACAGGGCAACGACGATTTGTCCACAGAGACCAGAGGCCAACTCTCGAATTTGCAAACAGCATGAAGGGACCCGTCGGCCTCGTTTGAAAAAAAAGCTCCTGCAGGCAGGAACTGTGGAAACTTCAAGAGCTCGTCCGATGGGCCATTTCTGACACCTCTTGAAGCGCCGGACCAAGGGCAGTTTTCCACATTTCTGACACCTCTTGAAGCACCGGACCAAGGGCATTTTTCCACAGTTAGTGCAGCGATGACTCACTCTCGATGTTTTGAGAGTGAATCTGACAGCTCTTGAATAGAAATCCAGGACGCGGCATCAAGACTTAGTGCAGCGGTGATGAACTCTTGATTTTTCAAGATTCAAGAGCAGTGCAGTGAGGCCCCTGTTCTTAGTACTTCTTACGTAGATCTGAATAACTTAACAGTTTAAATTTCCAATTTTCATATCAATATGAATTAGAAAGTCTAACTTCAAAGTTCCAAGTTCTGTTTTTCTCTGATTTTCGTACTCTTTTCTGAAGTGATTTGGGATTGGTCTGTTCGACTCTGTTGAGAACTGGTTTCAACTTTCTAGTGTTGTGTGAGCCTTGTGAATGTCTCTGACTATGTGACAGTATGAAGCTGTCAAGTTGTGAATAGTGAAAGACAGTAAGCTGTGTTCAGTACTGTTTACTACTAAATTACTATTTTATTTTATTTTTTTTTCCCGTCCGGACAGACATGTCCGGGTCCGGGTCCGGGTCCGGGTCCGGGTCGGCGGTTGCCATGATTATGACAATAGGAAGCAAGGCTTTAAGGCTAAATGAATGAATGAACCCTGAAACATGGCCTGGGTTCAGAAATTGTTCTCTCCCTGCAACTGGCCAACAAAAAAAAAAAAAACAGTTGGAATCGCTAAGAATCGCTGATCAGCATGCCGCGGTGAATTCGTACTCAGGCCTTGTACACAGCCCCCCCCATCACACCATTGGAATTTCTTTCGCCTGAGATCGTCTCTAGGATCAACCAACCAATCTCCTGCCGGGGGCCAAGTCCCACTAGCAGCGTTGAGCTACCTCAATGCCTGAATCTGGACGCTTTTGCGGAGATGTGCAGAAATGGTGTCGAGTTTCCTGAAATGCACCTCTCCACAAACACGTCCAGATTCAGGCGTTGACGTAGCTCAACGCTGCTAGTGGGACTTGGGCCCGGACATCCGTTAAATTGGAACGATACAGAGAAAGAAGATTAGTATGGTCCCTGCGCAGGGAAACATAATAATAATAAATAATAATTATAAATAATAATAATAATAATAATAAAATGACTTTGCGATGTTGCGCATTACTTGACGTGCGCAGCATATTTTCGGGATCGTTGATTGATTATAGAGGGCGGACAGGCAGAGAATGGGAGAGAGAGGCACGCAAAGAATCAGAGTGAGACAGAGGACGCAGACATGGTAGGCCCGACGGGCAGGGGCAACCACCCGTTAACCCGGATTCCGTGTCTGTGGCCGTTGATCCTCGTAATCTACAGTCCAAAACGAAGATCAACAACAACAACAACAACAACAACAACAACAACAACAACAACAACAACAAAAAA